TTTCAATCTTGTTTCCTATTCTTTGGAGTATAGAGCAGTTGGTTTTTCCAAACCCTCGAGGCTCCAATTTTCTGTATTCTCTGTATTCCTTTTCATTTATGCTTGCAAATCTGCTTGTTATTGCATGAGCTCATCCCTTTTTTCTAATATGTTGCTAAATGCAGCCTGTAAACATAACCCACTAACATCCCATTCCCATTTTCTAACCTATTCTAGAGCTTCGTATGGGCTTTGTAAACACTTTTTTTTTTTTGCCTTCAGATTATCACAGGCAACTCTTTTACCAAATGTCTTGCCATAGGTTTCCATTATCTAGCTCCTAATAATAGTTTCCTTGTTGTCTACTGCTTATCTAACTAGCTTTAGATTTTTACCTTAACGCCCTATCTCTGTAACCATTTCTGTATTTTTTTTTAAATCTTTTCTGTATTAAGGAAAATTAGCTATGGTGGCAAACATATTTGAAAAGGTCACAGTAAAATTTTGTTTCTTGCTCACATACTAGTTCAACATAAGTGTCCCTGGTCAGTGGTGGAGGAATGCCACACAGTCACCTAGGGACCCAGGCTTATAGAAGCTCTGTCATCTTTAACATATAACTTCAAACGTTTCCCTTGACATCAAATTCCAACCAGCAGATGCCAAAAGAGAGGGAGGTGATTGATGTTAACTAGAGTTTTTAAAATAACATTCTCTATTAACCATAGTTTTTATGGTAATCATTTCACAATATATACCTATATCAAATCATTATGTTGTACATCTTGGACTAATACAATGTTATATGTCAATTATGTCTCAATAAAACTGGGCGGGGAAGTACTGCTGATGTTGGCAGTTCTCTACGTGCTGATTCAATGAACTGAGCTGCTTCAATCTTGTGGGTAAGACATCTTAACTCAAAATTTCCTCCATGACAACTGCAGCAAGGAAGAGAAAGTCTAGACAACTGCTCAAAGGCTTTTCACTGTCTCATCCTGGAAGTGACACATTACTTCTCACATGTTATTGACTAGAGCTAGTTACATGGCCCCACCTAACTGCAAGGGGATCCAAAAACATAAACTCCATTATGCCCAGGAAGCAAAGGAAGACCAGATATTAGTGAGCAACTAGTAGCATTTGCAAGAAATGATGTGACCTCGAATTCAGTAGTCTATTGATGTCCACTCCTCCAGCCCTTCCAAGGGTTTCAGAAGTACTGCATTGCCTAATATCCCTTTGTTTTTTGAAATATCTGGAGTGATTTCAAGGTTCCTACAGTGAACTCCGACTAAATCAGATGTGTGCTGATAGCTTTCTGTCCCTTTACCTCCATCTAATCTTCACCTTTCTGTGCCCTACTGTGTCCCAGGGTGCTATCCTCTATGAACTACGTTTTCCAAGTTCCTTCTCCTTCTGGGTTAGGTTGGTTTGGGATCATGAGATTTACCAGCAGGAGTTCAGAAAGCAGAAAATGAAAGAGGTCAGGATCTTTATCCCCCGCTCTTTCTAACTCCCCACCAGACTGTGGTCCCTTATCCTGCCCTAAGTGTCCTTTCATTAAACTTTCCTCATTTAAATACTTTGAGTGTGATGTCTGTTTCTTGCCTGGACCTTGACTATACAAGGTATTTAATAATCAAACCGTGAGTCTAAAAAAGAGTGCTCTCTTACTTCCTTCAGTTTTATTGCAGCTAAAGATCTTTATAAAATGCAAATCTGAACATATCATTCCTCTGTTTTAAAACTTCAATGGCTCCCTATGCTATCCCTGTCGCCACACCCCACTCGAAGTAACAGCCAGACTGAACTACTTTCAGTTCCTCCTGCAACATGGTCTCTCTTCCTCTGAGCCTCTGCACATGCAGTACCTTCTTCCTGGAAACCACTCCCCACCCCCACTCTCATCATTCACGCATCAGCTCAAAAGTCACTTACTCTAGAAAGTCTTCCATAAACTTACTTTTCCTAGTTAGATGTTATTCTATGCTCCCACAGCAGCCTCTATTCACCGTCATATGCAGCCAGAACTCAGTGCTATGTCGAGTTCTATCTATATATATGCAACTGCCTGCTTACGTATCTCCAATGGACTCCAACAGTCCTCCAATATACTGAAAGATATAGAACAGGGACTGCATCACAGATCTCCAGGACCTATTAAGGTGCTTGTCACACAACAGGCTCTCAACGAATCTTGGATAGTTCCTGAATGTTATTTTAAAAGCTCGAACCCCTCTCTTCTAGCTACTGTCCTCTCTCTTTTCATTCCCTGACAAAAATAGAAAAAATAATATTTGGTCACCCACTCCCCAATACTGCCTTCCATTCACTTCACAGACCCTTTTAATCTTACTTTGCCACCACCTTTTATGGAGACTTCTCTCGCCAAGATGTCAATGACCTCTTAGATCTTCATCTTAATAACCTCTTTTCAGTTGTATGGAAAATTATTTTCCTTCTACTCTTCAAGTTTTTCTGGCTGATCTAATAAGCAAATTAACAGGAGAGATTAATAGGAAAAAAAATAACCAAACTTATTACATACGTACATATGGGAGTTCCATAAGAATATGGGACTCTGAGGACATATCCACAGTTGAGGCATTTATGCTGTTATGGGCTAAGGAGAAGAAGGCAATTCACTTCAAAGGGAAAGTAGGCCATTCACAGGTAGATGAGAAAGAGCAAACCTTTGGTAAACAAACTCCTGCCATACCACACAGAGGAGAATCCAACAGACAGAAGTTGCTAGGTTCCTCCCTCACTGACACACTTAGTGTATTTATGCTAACATGATAGCTCTCTTTCTTTAAGCAGGTTTTTTTAATCTGAATTCCTTTAGGCAGGTAAGGGAGAGGATCAAAATCTTTCTGAGTCTTTCCTTTCTTAAAAATAACCAGCTTAAAATAATCAATATCCCAAAGGGCATATTTTGGGGTGGCAAACACTGCTTCCCCTCACAGTTCAAATCCTCCAGAACTGCTCAGCAGCACTTTCTGGAAACTTCCTCCTCTGCTCTCCACGGATCATGAAGCGCTCTCTCTCCACACACACTCACTCACACACTCTCTCTTTCTCTTTAATTGAGCTGTTTGCATATCTGTGTTATCTTCCATTTATTTATAAACTCCTGTGTGTTCTGTTCATCTGTATTTACTGTTCCTTGGCATAGCGCCTGGCACATGGCAGCTCTTAAAACTTTCTTGGCTTCCCAGCCATGTCTCTTTCTCCATCTCCTCTTTCTCTGACTGTTCTCAGGTGCTTTCACAAGCTCCTCTTCCTCCATCTACCCAGTATATGTTCTTCAGAGTAACTAATTTTTATCCACCCTTGAGGCTTCAGCCATCAGGGAATACTCTGATTCTCAAATGTGTATTTTCAATCTTAACCTTTCCCCTGAGCTAAGGCTGCCCTTCTCTCCCTGAATATCTTGAAGGCAGTTCAAATACTCCTTATCTCTTCCTTTCCCAACCTGCCCTCCTCCTGTTTCCAAAGCTTGGTTAATGGAATTAACATCCATGTAGCTGTCCAAGTTACAAAGCTCAGTGTCTCCTTAACTCTTCCCACTGCTTTTCCCCCTTGTCCTGCTGAGCAGCCAGCTTTATCCACTACCGAACATTCAGCCTCAAACTCCTAAACTCTGCCTCTGGGTCTTTACTTCTGCTTCCTCCACAGGGAACACCCTTTCTCACTTTGTCCCAAATCTTATTCTCTGAAATCCAGAACACCGGTTAACTTCAATTAATTGCTCCTTCTGAGCTCTAGACAAATTGCTTCTTCATTCTGAAGAAACACACCTTCATGCTAGGTTTTGTTTTTTAATGACTGACATATATGTCTCCCTTACTAGATTGTAAAAATTTTGAGGGTAGGTTTTTATTTTATTTTTTTATCATTGCGTCTAGCTAGTGACTGACATTTTAGGCGATTAAAAAATATTGTTATATGAATGAATGCATGAAGAAATGAGTGAACTGGGAACGAGAATCCTTTCCATTACACCCGTTTGGAAATTACTGCGAGGGAATCTTTGAGTTGAAAGGACAATAACTGTCTGAAAACACGAGCATTATGTAACCAGCTCATTATAACGACATATACATGTCTATGGACAGCAGGTAATTGCTATGCATCTCAGGAGGCTTTTTATTTTTAGGCTTTTGAGTTCTCGGTACGGATAGCCAAATTTTAAAAGAGAAGATATTATTTTAACCCCTTTTCTAACTCTTTTATCCTGATGATGGAGTTAACAGCATAAACAAGAGAAAATGACTGTAGCAGTCCAGTGCCTGGGCACTTGCGAGGCTCCCAACACATTTTCATCCCTTTGCTTTTTCCTACCCCGTCCTCATTTTATATTAGAAGGCTCGCGAATTTAGAGTACCTAAAGGAAATTTTAGTTTTAGGATTTCAACGGGACGAAAACAACGTCGTGGAGATTCTGATTATCTCTATTTAAACACCCTTGACTCTCAATTCCAAGGGGGAAATAACGCCGCTGGAGGGGGAGGGGGAGAAAGGGGGCGGAGCAAAAACTGAAAGAAAGGCTGAGAGGAAGCGGGAGAAGGAAGCTCCTTTTTGGTTGGGTTTGTCTTTTCTTAACCCCGAGAGACGTGACGCCGTAACTGCCGTCGCGGGCCGGTTTCTC